TATTCGTTTACAAGCACCACGAGTTGTAACCTGTTACTGTTAGCCAGTATTGATCGGCTACTGAGTGTTTGCTTTCCTATGGAATTTTCCAATATTCCCCGACGATACGGTTGGTATGCAGTTCTGATCACGCTATTCATCAGTTTGTTCATGCTCCTACCGGCAACCGCTTTGATCATGTGGACTCCAATTGGTGATAAGCTTATTTGTTGGTTTCCGGAACCCTATCAGTATATGGAGTACTACCACACATTGATCTCTAATGCCGCTGTTCTCCAACCGTTGGCTATCACAGTAATCAATATTATTATATTCTCAATCATTCGACGTCTCGCGAAACAGAAGCAGAGTGAAGCGGTTTGGACAAATCAGGCAAAACAGAGTGTCCGGGCTTGTGTTGTCTTATTGATTGTGTCCTGTGTCTATGTGGTGTGTGCACTGCCACAAAGCGTTGCCTATATTTGCGCCTACACTATCGCTCGAACAGATCCGTCTCAGACGCGGGCGATTCGACTGGCCTATAATGTGGCCGATTTGTCGTGGAATCTGTACTTTTTGCGAGATGTTGTCTATTTGATTGTGATGTTCCGATTCATGGGAATATTTCGTTGGTGTTACGAAGTGATCCGGGGTAGAGAGCACCGGGACGCATGCCTCATGTCGGATACATTTTTGGGTCAGGACAATATGACGATTATGCATTGACCGTTCGGTACTAAACCATCTACCNNCTCACAAACAGTATGCAAACATGGATAGAGGGATGACCCGAATACGAAAAATTCACCATTTCATCGACTATCATGCACTTTCTTGTTGAGAATTATATTCACACAAATTTTGTCAAACACATACATGAAATAAACGCCGCTGGTTCCAAACAGTTTGAGGGGAAGAACTGAAGGCGTCTCCTCCTCTTTAAACTTCTTTAAATTGAAAACAACTGTTATCTGCGTACGAAACTGACACCCCATTACCGTGTTCAAACCATTCTTCATTGATCATTCTGCAAGATGTTTACGCATGTTTGCCGGGTCCAGGATCAATAATTTGAAACACACAACGAGGGCTAGATAGAAATCATACTGCAACCAGTACGTGCTGTAAATGGAATCGGTTCCTTGTTGGCGATGCAAGCGAATGTTACAATTAACCTTACCAGTTGTATTGGTAATCTACTCCACGTGAGGTCGTGAAGTTGTTTCCAACAGGAACCGTTTCATTCAATGATGTGGGAACTAAATCCTGATGAGGGACTGTTGATATTGTTACTGTGTTATAATTCATTGCTTAGAGAACCAAAACAATGAACATTGCGTGGGCGATAAATTCGGTTATTGAAGTATACATAACTGTCAGGTGCATGCTGAAGCACAGACGTGGGTGTTGGACCATCCCGAAAGAGAAGGTGAACGTTTGAAAATAAAAGTCCTCCAGATCACTGCATCACTTCCTTCAAAACGGAGACCCCCACTTCCTACTGATAACCAACGTAACTTTATGTGTCTTACCGCTATCCCTGATCAAAGCTGTACCCTGCAAGTCAGATCAAGTCAAAATCACTTTATGCATCCTAATGGGTGGAATCTCAGCTCCTTGCACACCAGGATCAGTTATCATCGCATACAATCACAGAGAGAAAGTAAAATACAGCATCGTAAACGTTTGAAGATGGATATTATTTACGTAGGAATTCCAAAAGGTTTTCTCTAATGGATGCCTTTTGTGCCAGAAATATCGAAAGATATGAGATGACGGACAAACGGTAAGCGGTGGTACCAGTATACACAAGTTTATAACTACACCTAGTTACAAAAGTGGATACGCATTGTTTAAGTACTGAGTGTAATGAGTAAGTGATATCTGATAGAATATTGTTGCAAACGTTTTCGCAAGAGGTAAAATGTTCGTCAGCGATAAAGTTAAGCAAGTGCAAATACGGAATACCGGTTGTGCTTGTGTGCGAAATGATTTTCATAGACTGGCGTAGAATTGAGTAATCTTCAACTCTAAGACCGGCAAATAAAGTCGAGGAGTAGTAGAGAAAATGAGTAACAACACAAGGATATAAAAATCGAGTGAGTAAATACAGTGGCACTTGAAAAGAACGCAAGCGGGTAATAAAGAAACACAACCGTCGAATCTTCACCAAAATGGAATTATAATGTGAGGTCCAGGTGAGATCTTGGGAGATAGTGACACCGCAGTATAGCAGAGAATTTACTAGAGGAACAGGCTGGTTGTCAACGTGGAGTACAGAACAAGTTATTTCAAAAGAATGTAGTCGTTCTCCTTTGGCTTGCGAGAAGATACCATCCCTAAATTTAGAGGCATTGAGAGATAACTTGGAAGGCGAAGACCATAAGTTTAAGGCAGGTAAACTGTTTTGAAGCTGTGAGAAGCGGAAATCACCTGGGAATTTGAAACCGATGGCGACATAATGAGCACACTTGATAAGAAGATCATCTGGGTCAGTGGATGGGTCTTGAACATAGAAAGATAAAAAAGGGGGGATCGAATTGCTATCCAGAACACCTCTGAATTGACCGATAGCGAGTCATACACTTTGTCAAGAAACTTCGTGAATTGTGTTCTAGCAGTAAAGTAATCCTGCAGCAGAGACAGGGTAGTATGAAACAATCCAGCACCCTGGACTAGAGACAAAAGCCTGCCCATATCGACACAGTTAAAAACATTACTATAGTCGATGAAGTACACACGAAATGCTGTGCCGTACATGTCGAGGAATCGCAAAAGTGAGTTTACCAAATGAACAAAGACTTCTAAGGTAGAACGTTGTTTGCGATACGCAAACTGGTTGTGATCTAACTGTCCACTGGTAGGAATAATGTTACTAAGCATAAACTTCTCGAGAATGTTTAGTAAAACAGATGTGCAGGCGATTGGTCGCAATTTCACACCTTCCTTTTTTGGGACTGATGTGATGCACACTGGTCTCCAACAGTCGACAGATATTTGGTCCTCGAAGCAACGGTTGAAAATACCGGCAAGTGGCTCTGCCAGGTAATACGTACATTCCCTGGGGACGATTTCGCATAGTCCGTCGAGACCGGAAGCTTTTGATAATTTGAGGCACTTCAGCTGTGTTCGCACCTGATTAGAATTGACATGCGAAACTTCATGATAGTCAACTGATTGGATATATGGATACGATACTTCAATTTCAGTTGACATGTAAATCATGCAATCGACTTCATTTGCTGTGGGTTAAGGCCCTCGTGTTCACTCCAGCAACCAAGCATGATAAGGGGCAGTTTACCTGTCAAAAATACCCCGCTAGATGAACGTAGGAGCGGGATACCTGGGGCGTCCTCTCGAGAGTGGGAGACGTCTTCGTACTTCACTGGACAGCTACCGCTCGCCCAAGTTGGCTAGCACTCAGGCAATAAGGTGCTGTCCCGTCCGCATTCCGTTTGTCTCGTCGGGTGTATGAGTCTGATGGTCAGTCCTAAACAGCGGATCGAGAATCAACGCACCAGGGAACAGTACGTTGAACCGAAACCTGGAGGCCTTGCATGACAAGTCTAAAGAAGTTCCCATACGGGTGCTTTGAGCACACTCTCGCATTGGATTTATACCCCACTGCCTTGTGGGTCAGACGTTTGAGTCAAAGACTCAGTTTGTACAACAGTGGTATCCTGGCAATAATCGCAATCTTTTCTGTCTGATGTGGAATACGAGCCTCAAAGAAATAGGCGTATGTGAGGTAATTAGGAAATCCGATGGCACACTGATTCACCATCAGCAACACCGTCTTGATCGATGGGCTGAACATCCGAGGCTCAGCTCAACTGGCCCTCATCCACAGCTGACCTATCACCCCCAACCCCTCCTCGGCCTGGAAGATTCTTCCAGTTGATTCCAGTCCTCCATCTGAAATTGGGGGTTTCCCGGGAAATAAGCTATTTCAAAAGACATAAGACCTATGGCTCGGATGGGCTGTTCCCATCGGCGTTTACGAATGGAGGCTCAGCGTTATTGTTGAAGTTGACGAAATTCCTGAAAACGAAGAGGTTCCAGCTGAATGGTGTGAATCGGTGATCATACCGATTTACAAGGTTCGCTTGTGAAAAACACAGAGAAATTAGTTTAGTCAACATTGTCTCCAAACTGCTCACCAGCATCATACTCCATCGATTATCTGCCGCACGTGACCTAGTCGAAGTTGTTTGGACCACATTTTCACTCTTCGCCAAACTCAGGAGCACCGACATTCTTTTCTTAGACCCACCACGTCTATCCTCCTCGATCTGAGAGCGGCTCTAAACTCTGGTGCCGCTTTTCCCTGAAAGCAGCTAAATCTCACAAGGTGGACGCATCACGGATGAAGTGTCAGCTTGCATATAGAAGGCTTGGTCGGCATTGCCGACGAGGAAACCTAGTCACTGGGAAAACGGGACAAAGATAGACTGTCGTTGTTTGAACACCGCTGTCTACACAGCATTGCACGATTCTGGTTGGACTGCCGGACGAGCATTGCTGACGTTAGGTGCAGGGGTTTAGGCAATGGCGGTCGCCCACTGGAGCAAATGTTCGAGCTCCACAGATCACGTTGGTTTGAGCATGTGTTACTCATGTCACCAAACAGGTTGCTACGGCGAGTGCTGTTCGCTTAGACAGGTAGTGGGTGGAATAAAGCCAAGTACGGTCAAGCTAAAACCTGGCATGAGGGTTTGAAAACTTAACCAGGAGTCTTGTGCACATAGGGCCTGTTAGGCTCCCTGGATGGGGACCACGGGATCAGCGTAATCAATGGTTAGATACACTGAATGATATGGCTGGTAGTCGTAAACTGTGCGTTCATGCTTCTTCTCAATTTTGCAACATTAGTTCACTGAAATTCTCAATTGTATCTTCCATTCTACCTTGAAGCTTCCTGTGTTTCTCCTACTGTTCATCCGAATGCACAACTGAAAAACAGCAACCAAAACCGGCGCACGGACGAGAATGTACGAACAGGGCTGTAATTGACCTTAGTCGACCGGGTAAAGAAGCGAATTACCTCAAGATGGATTGATAAGTTGGCTACCATCCTTAGGCCTGAATGTTGAAATGAATCGTTTTATGAGTGGGTTCAGTCTAAGGCCACGATACCCTAGTGAGTAAATTCCATTGAGAGCGGGATTTCCACGAATAACACCGATTCCTTCAAATCAAATGCAATGGTCCACATATTTTTGGTATTGAAAGCTACACTTGACAATAGATCTATTGATGATACAAGGATATAGTGGAAGAATTGGTTGAATGTACCTTAATAGCAAGGTCACATTGGAACTCATTCAATAACTAACAGAAATTGAATTTTCTCATTGTGATTCGCATGCTAACTGCTGCATTTCATCTACAAAGCTATCGATAATACACGTGACACATAGTTTCCCCCTTTGTTACTCAGCATCGTCGCATAGGTTCTTATCCTCGTTGTATCATTTATCATCCTCATCGCATCGCACGTGTGCGGTCCTTATACTTCAGCTAGTGAGACCGGTGTTGATAGGAATAACATACAGTTATCCATGATTCTATGGTGGTGGTGGATGGTGGCTTTGTATCGGATGCTCAATATTCCCACATTAGAGTTCCTCAATAGTGCATATCTTGCTCGCGGGCACGTGAACTCCAACCAGTCAATTGTCCAGGCCGTTTGACTTCTTGACTCAAATCGATCACATGAGTGTTAG